CAAATAAAGCTCAAAATGACAAGGCTGGTGGTCTGCAAGGCTTCCCAAACTCCTTGTAATAACTCCTCAGCCTCCCAGGGCTCCGTGGCCCCAGGTTGGAAAGCCCTGATTTAGGATGGAGGGGTAGCAGTGAATTCTACTCGCTCCTCTAACATCCAGGTGAGGGATGGCCCTCCCCTCCTACCCAGGTGCTCTGACTCCAAATCTACCACTCTTGGCACAGCCAAATATACACTTTTAACTTGGAAAGGAAAGGAGGGAGCTGAGATCACTGCTGCTGGCTCTGTAAATGTCAAGGCCACAGTGAGATCTCCTCCAGTTTTATTAAACTATGTAAATCCAACTTGGGGTGGGGGGAGGGGAGAATGATCAAAGCCATCCAGGACGGCCCCTGGAGCATCCCCTGAACTCCCCCCTCCCCAGCCCCGCCCAGGCTAAGAAGCCTCCTCCAGCTGCACCAGGATTCATTGAGCTTCCTCTCCAAGAGGCCAGACCACACCGTCAAACGCTTCATTACAGACAGCCTTTGGAAGCTTCGCTGTGATTCCTTGTGTACGTGTGCATTTTGTCTCTGCTCCAAATTTGCAAGCTCCAAAAGAGCAGGGCTTCCTAATCGAAGGCTTGTCACTCCCCTGCGCGACCTCAAGTCATGTCTTCCCTTTTCCTGGGACAGGTTCCCCTGTCTATAGGATGAAAGGACTGGACAAGATGCTCTCCTTCTCCAAAGGCTCTTCTGGCTCTGACTTTCTGTTCCGTGTTCCAAGGCCCCTCCCAGCTCCGATGGTATCAAGGTCCCTGACAACTCGAACATTCTGTTCTAAGGTCCCCCCCAGCCCTCACATGTTGTGTTCTGTGTTCTGAGGTCCTCCCCCCAGCCCTCACATGTTGTGTTCTGTGTTCTAAGGTCCCTCCCAGCCCTCACATGCTGTGTTCTGTGTTCTGAGGTCCCTCCCAGCTCTCACATGTTGTGTTCTGTGTTCTGAGGTCCTCCCCCCAGCCCTCACATGCTGTGTTCTGTGTTCTGAGGTCCCTCCCAGCTCTCATATTAAGTGTTATGATCATCCCAACCCTAATATTCTCTGTTCTGCATTCCGTAGTCCCTCCTTGCTTTGACTTTCTGTATAGTATGTTTCAAGGTCCTTCCCACTTCTGACATTTTATGTTCTAAGAGTCCTCTCAGCTCAGAACAGAGGGCCCTTAGAACATAGAACATCTTCTAGGGCCCAGCTCTCACATTAGATGGCTCTAATATTCTCTGTTCTGTGTTCTGTGGTCCCCCTCATCTCAGATAACCTATGTTATACTGTCCCTCCCAGATCTTACATTGTATGATCCATATTCTAGGGGCCTCCAGGCTCTCATCTTTGTTCTAAGGTGCCAGTTGTAACATTCTTTGTTCTAAGGTCTCCTCCACCTCTGACATTCTATGTTCCAAGCATTCTCTGTCCTGAGATCCCTTGCCCTTCATAGGGGCAAATCTGTAAATGGGGGAGGAAATGAGTTTTCCCCCATTGCATCTTTTTCTGACGTCAAGCCCAGAGTTCTTTCGCTGTCTTGATGATTTGGGGGCCTTATTTTCCCCGGGGGAGCAGTAAGGGGAGAAAAACCTCAGAAGAAAGCTGGGAGACCATGGCTGCAGCTGAGAGGAGGTGAAGGGGTACACAGCTTGTGAGCCCAAAGAGCCCAGGAGGTTGTGAAAGGGGCTGCTGAGTGGGTCAGAGCCCCACCAAGTGGGCATGAACACCTTTCCTTGAAGATGGATTTGCGCACGGGTAGGAGGGAAGGAGGGTTTTTCTCTGTTACATTTTTTCTGCATCACAGAAGATCCATCATTTCCTTTTCTTGTAATGATGTTGACCTGATTAAAATTTTTATTGGATTTTTACAAAATAATTTCATACATAACATTCCCCGGAGCCCCTGCAGGAGGGAGGTAAAAGGCAAAGAAAGTGGGGAGGGAAGAATGGAGGAGGGAGGGAGCCACGTAAGGAGAGAGGGAGAGATGAGTATATTAAGCACAAGGTGGAGAATGGAAATATTTGATTTTACACAGAAACGATCTGGCAGGATGGAAAAAAGATTAGATCTCTTGCTTTTTAAATAGTGCTCTTGGAATACTGCAGCTGCGAAAATGGGCTTGGAATTGGCAATTTGAAGCTAGTGAAGGAAGTGTCTTGTTTCCCACAGAAGGGCCTTTGAGAGGGGTGAGGATTTGGTGAGAGCTGGAGCCCAGGCCTAGGCAAATTCCCATGGAGAGGAGGGTGAGAACGTGTCACAGCCCAAGTGCCCTCCACGTCCCCCTTCTACCCAAGGCACAAGAGCACCTCAGGCTTCTCGAGTCTGCCTAGTCAAAGGAAACACTTCCCTCACAAGGCGCCTGTGAGGGAGAGAGGATGCGCCTTATTAAATAGCACCAATTTATAGATCATGAAACGGAAGCTCAGGGGAGTTTAAAGATTTCTTTCTAGAGGATCCTATTATATATTTGAGAAACCTCCCTCCACCAATTCTTATTGGCACCAGCATTTCTATTTATAAGCTTAAGAGCTGGGCTTGGAGTCAGAGAGTCCTGAGTTCAAATCCTGCCTCAGGAATTTATTATGTGACCTCAGGCACTTATGCTCTGTCTGCCTCAGTTTCCTCATCAGTAAAATAGGGGAAATAATAGTATTTCCATCACAGCATTGTTATAAGGATCAAATGAGACAGCATATGGAAAGTTCTACACAAACCTTGAAACTCTCCATGAGTACTAGCTGTATTATTATTAGAAATTGGCTTGGAGGTATGGAGAGTTTAAGTGACTTGCCCAAGGTCACACATAGTGTCAGAAGCCAAACTTGAACCCAGTTCTACTGGACTCCAAGGTTGTTTTTCTATCAGCTATTCCACACTGCTTCTCATTAAACAATTTACCCAGTGTTCATTTTTTTTTTAATTTTTATTTTCAGTTCGAAATTTTCTCCCTCCCTCTGCCCCCTCCCCCACCCATTTAGAAGGCAACAAATACTATACCCATTATACATATGAAGTCACATAAAACAATTTACCCAGAGCTAAGGAAGCTGACATTTAAAGGCATATCTTGGTGGAGTGGATAGAGAGCTTGTCTTGATGTCAGGAAGGTCTGGGTTCAAGGTCTGCCTCTGACACATATTAGCCACGTGACCCTGTGGGGATCAGTCAGTCTCTTAGGGACATGACAACTCTCTAAACGAGTTGTGGGTCCTCATTAGTAAAAGGCTTTCACCACCTGCACTGCCAGTGAAATCACACACCCAGCCACAAAAACAAAAATCACAACTCTGAAGTAGAAACCCCAGGATTCAGAGCTGCAGGACACCTTAGAGATGATCTCATGCAGAGATTCTTAACCCAGAGTCGGGGACTTTTTTAAAAAATATTTTGATGGCAGTATTTCAATATGATTGGTTTCTTTTGTAATCTTTTGTATTTTATGCATTTAAAAACACGGTTCTGAGGAGATATCTATGCATAGGCTCCCGAAGACTACCGCATAGCTCAGAAAAGGTACAGGAGCCCTGCCTTTGCCCAACCATCATCTCACAGATGGGCGGGCAATCTGGTGCCCAGAGAGATAAAGCAACTTGTCAAGGTTTACACTGGTAAGATGTAGCAGAGCTGGGACTGGAAACAATGTTCTCTTTCTGTTCTATCATTTCATCTGTCTTCTGGCCCAGCGTCCTACCCACTATATGCAAGCATTTCACGTTAGCTTGAACTCTCACTGGCCTTCCATCCAATTCTAGGGGAGGGGAAGAAGGACTGGGAAAAGCTTAAATTTGTAAGTGGGGCCTGAGGGGAAGAAAGGTGGGGTCTAGGACCAAGGTATAGCTGAATACTGGTCACTACGTGTAAGCAACCCTTCCCTGGCGTGCACGTGCACGAGCATGTGTGCACGCATGTATACACACACATACACACACACACACACACACATTCACACACACACTCCGACTCCACCACTCAAGTGTTCCTGAAGATCTTCTACCCCTGAGGTTTTTCAGACTGCCTTCAATCTTTCTTTTGGAACACCCGGGAAGCCTGAAAGAAACCATCATCCGTCAAGACAACCTTCTCTCCACCCCTGCAAGTGACATTCCTGCCGTCCTCACCCACTTAGGGCCGTAAATAGTAATTCTTTCAACTAACATGTCCTAGAAGGGTTCAGCCAAGTTGCTAAACCCTTTCTCCCTCCCACTCCCACATTGGGCTATTTTTGCTAAGCTCCCAGATTAAAAAAAAAAAAAGGACAAGAAAAATAAGAAAAGTTGCCTCATGTCTAAAGAGTCTGATAAGCTGACTGGAGTGTAAACAGGCCCGGCTGGCCCAAATATTTGTTGCGTTGCTGAGTAACTGAACAAAACGTCCCTGCTCCCCAGCATCTGAGGAGACAAGGACTTGGAGGAGAATTTCAAACAGATGTCCACTGCCCAGAATGAGAGGCATTTCATGCAGCATCAGGGACCACCCAAGAGATTGCTCCATCGGCCTGGATCAAATGAACTTTCAGGTCATTGAATCTCAGAGTGCATAGGACCATCTAGTCCAACCATGCTGAACAACGATCCTCTGTACAGTGCCCCAGACCGGTGCTCATCTAGCCTTGGCTTGGGGACCTTAAGGGACAAAGAACCTGCAATGTCCAGGGGAGGTCCATCCTTCTGGGGACAGCTCTCACTGGGAGGTACTTTCTCTGATTTTCCAGCCTAAATCTGCCTCTTAGCAACATCCACTCCTGGTCCAATCCTCTGGGACTAACTAGAAAGAGTCTATTTCCTCTTCCACGTGAAGAAACAAAGTGTTTCAAGTCTCAAACTTCTAAGTAAATTAGAACTTAAAAGACCCTAATGCTTTTTAGCTGATTTAATATGCCGCTAGGTGTGGATCAAGGTAAAATACCGGAGTGCCAATATCGGCATTTGCTACAAGGCACCAGGAAATTCCAGGCACTCTGGAAGGTGACCAGATACTATTCAGACCATCCTCATAATTTAATATTATTTGGAGTCTCTGTGATTAAAATACCTTTTTCATGTCCTAGAGTCCTTGACTTGTCATGATCCATCACTACCAATATATCTTTAACTTGTTTACCCTTTCCATTAGATAGTCACTCTATTCTTGATTGGTAACTAAGACAAGCTTCGTGGTCAAAGGAAATTGTTTAGAATTCTAGAATTCTCTAGTAGTGCCTGGATAGGGCCTAGAACTCCCAGGGTTTGTTGTTTTTGTGGGGTTTTTTTGGTCTAGAGAACTAGGAATTTTAGTTGGTAAGGGACTGTTGATGCATCCTTCGATCAATTATTTGCACTCAAATACACAAATAGATCTGTGATTTCATTGATTCAGGAATTCCTTCTCATGATGTGGATAGCAACCTATCCTACACAACTCTCATCCATGTCCTCCCAGTGTTTTGACATGAGGGGTCCACCCAACATGTTACAGGCCTTCCTTGCTTTCTTCCAACATCACAAGGGTGCTAGTAGAGGTTTTTATACATCCACTCATCATCTCTTGCTCTTGCCACAGGACCAGCTCATCTTCTCTTTCTGGCATACAGTTCCCTGACGACCTCCTTCATTCTTGTTCTTCAGAGTTTCTCCTTGGTTATATGTTCCAGCCTGCTCAAAAGCACGTGCCTCTTTACCACCCTCTCTGGATGATGCTCAACTTTAGTTCTTAGACGGCTGTGATGTTCCATTGCTGGCATATGGCGAGACCAGGAAAATGTTCGTATTGAAAAGATGGGCCTTTGATTTCATGGGAGGCTTGGGATCAGCAAAAGAACCATGCAATTTCCCTAAAGCAATTCAGCCCACTCTCCTCATTTTCAACTCTGGGCCCAGCTCATTGTATTGTCTGTCCAAGATACACATACTATTGGACAATCTCTATAGGACGTCCACTCATAGGTTGAAATGTGAGTATTAGGTAGACATTCTTCATTTACTTGATCTTTCCTGTGTGGATGGACAGGCCAAACTCTCTACATTGAGTACAGATTATTGCAGGAGGCTCTGTGATGGGTGCTCGAGTACAATCCATATAATGTCATTCACAAAGTGGAACATCTGGAGGACCTCACCATCCCCAGAGAATCCTTCCTGAACTCTGTGCCAGGTGTCCTCTATCATTGCAGTCCCCACGGTAACCCTGTTTTATGTCTCTCCTGACATTTATTATTAGAGGATCATTGAACAAGGTCATTCCTATTGTTACATCTTCCGAGGAATTCTGAAAGATGATGATATATGGATGAGAAACACTTTGTTGTAAAAGAACCTAGTGTTTCTTTATTTTCAAAATATCCAACCAAAAATCTCAGTAGGAGCTTATGTTCTCTACATCATTCAGTCAACTATAACATGATGAAGATGTGGTCCATTGTTGAATATCATTTGCAAAAGCCTTCTTGTTCATGACTAATAGCTTCATAAAGGATGCCCTCAATTTGTGTATAGATGACCCTCATAAAGATTTTGGATAGATGGGAGATTAGGCAGATAGGTTAGTATTTTTGATGCTCTTTCGGTCATCATTTTTTTGGCATCAATGAGTTCTGAGATCTTTTTTTCCATGCCTTTGGTATATTCTTCTCCTTTAGGACCTTGCGTATTAGTCTCTCTGTGACATCAAAATTCTATCACCTCTGGCACAGATCTCTTGTACATATAGACTTGATCCAAACAAGCATGTTTTCCTCATTTTTGTTTTCTTTGGTGCCATTTCTACATCCTGTCTAATTATCTCAGGGACTCTAACATCACGGTCTAAGTATGGTGGTTCCACAGTCCTTAAAGGAGAAAACAGTTTGTTGCAACGTTTTTGCAAATCTTTTCCATTTTTCTTCTCTTTGTCATCCTCTTTCCATTTTCATCCTCAAAAGCCCTTCAGATGACTTTGCTAAGTTGGATACCTTGCCAAGCTTTCTCTAAAATGGTTTTGCCTAAATAAATTAATAAAAAAAACTGAAGAGTAACATTTGTGTTACAACAACATCAGCCAACAAGTCAGATCACTTCGACTATTGAGCCCTTCCAGCAAAATACAAAGAAATAAAATAAAATAAAATAAGATAAAATAAAATGGTTTTGCCTTACGCTGCTTCTCTCTGTTTTCTGAGGCAATACTGCTCATGATCATCTATTATCCTTCTTTGTAAGATTTTAAGGATAACTTTATATTCTACAGCAGCTTGGCGGCACAATGGATAGAATGCCGGACCTGGAGTCAGGAAGACCTGAGTTCAAATCCAGCCTTGGATACTTATTAGTTGTGTGACCCTGGACAAGTCACTTCACCACTGTCTGCCTCAATTTCCTCATCTGCATAATGGTTATAATAATAGTGCTTACCTCCTAAGATTGTTATGAGGATAATATTTGTAAAATGCTTTGTAAACCTTAAAGCACTGTATAAATACTAGCACTTAGCACATTGCCTGGCACATAGTAGGTGCTTTGATAAATGTTTATGTGTGTGTATATATACATATATGTATATGTATATGATGACAAGCTCTCTCTATATATGCATGTATATGCACATACATATAAAACTATAACCCACTGTTTCTTTTGGCAGCCATCACTCTCCATTTGGCAAGTAAGGCAAATGTTTTCTGACCAGTGTGCTTTCTGGGCTCATTTGTTCTCTTTATTGTAGAAATTAGTTTATATTGGTTTAACTTCTGGATGAAATTATAATAGTTGGTGACAATGCCATTTCTATCCATTTGCCTTTTTAAAAAAATTTCAACTGCTTGTTCAAATAATTAAGGGCTGACTCTCATTTGTATGCCATATCTTTTTATCACGAGTAGTCCTTCTTGTTTATTTTAAATTCCTGCCTTAGCTCTGACAACTCAATAGTCTTACTGTGCACAGACAGCTGACTTAAGGATAATTCCTACATTCATAATAAGCCATGTCTGTCAGAATGTAGTCATTTTCATTTTTAGTGAGATTATTTTCTGCTCACCATGTCCAGTGCCTACCAATTTTTTTTAAGAAAGTGTTCATGATATAGAGGTGCAAGGCTTCTGTATATCTGCGAGTCTTTGGCCTCTCTCATTTCTTTCTCCTGAACCATACTTGACATAACTCATAAATATGTATTCCTAATAGATCAGAGTCCTAAATACAATGCTGAGTGATTCAGTTTATTTGCTTTGACACACATGGCAGTCTTTCAGCGGCTGGAAGGCAGTGAGCACATCCCACCCTACATCCTCCCTTTTCTAGGCTAAACATCCCCAGTTCCTTCAACTGATTGGCATATTTCATGAACTGGTCACTCTCCTCTTGCCAACCCTGCCAACCTTGAGATCCTAGAGCAATAATAATACCCGTGGTTGGACCCAAGGGTCTAGGATGCTAATCTCTCTCCCTCTCTACTAAGGGGTCCCTCCTCTCAACTCTAGATGCATCTGGTCACAGACCAAGGGGAGTTTGACTCCCTACAAAGAAGAGCCAGGCTCTTTTCTCATACTCTCTGATTCTTTATAATGTCTGTTTTGTTGATGAGTTGTTTCGGTCGTATATGATTCTTCATCACCCTATTTTGGGTTTTCTTCGCAAAGATACTGAAGTGGTTTGTCATTTCCTTCTCCAATTCATTTCATAGATGAGAGGCTGAACTGAGGCAAACAGGGTTAGGTGACTTGCCCAGGGTCATACAGCTAGTAAGTGTCTGGGGACAGATTTGAACTCATATCCTGCTGACCTCAGGCCAGCTCTCTATCTACTTTACCACCTAGCTGTCTTCAAGCATTGTGGGCAATTATTTAAAGTTTAGGTTTGGGTTTGTGTCTAAAGTCTCTCTAAAGGGAGGAATAGAAAGGCATTCAGTGTACATATAGGACAGCCATTTATTTCTTCTAAACAAAAGAAATTCTAAACACAGAAGACTCACAAGTGTGCATTGATAGAAAACAAAGAAGCAACAATAATAACTTATAACTACTATTATACTCTCCTGAGAGGTTGAGACAAAACCATCAAAACATAAAGCAATTTGTGAGATTGCTGAGTAGCCATTTTTACATTTCACCTTGTCTCCGCACTGTCCAAACAATTCCCTCTAGATACAAGTCTTCTGACTAGCCCAGCCAGGAGCTGAGCTGCTTACCTCATTGGTAGTTATCCCCTCTGATGCAGAAACTCCCCTCAGCTGCAAGTCAGCTCCAAACAAAGGACCCAGGATCTCCAGAACTCTTGAGTTCCCAAGGTTGCTTCTGAGGCTGGATACAATCATCTTGGGAATGCCTTTTGGTCACCTCTAATCAGGAAAGAAATAAAACAGAAACACTAGCTAAGGGCCCACAGACCAGGCTCAGGCTTGCCTAAGGCCACACACATGCTGCTACCATGTGTTCACAGTTCAACATTTCTGCCCAGATGAAGGAAAGACACCAACCACATCCCATTTCACCCCTTCAGGGAGAGACTCAAAGATTCCTTCTATGCTCATTATCTGGAAAGAGAAGAGGAGTTTCAGCTTAAAATCCCACTGAATTAGTGGCCCTTCCTGCTCTGTGGCCAAGAAGGGGGTTTGTTTGTCATCTAAAAGCACCAAGCCTTCCAATGCTGAGTCATATGTGTCCCCAGAGGCTAACAGAGAAACTCAGCATGCCCTCTACAGGACAAGCCATATAGTACCATTCACACACATATTCCATGGCATACAACCTAGGATTGTAGGCTCCAGTCTGAGGAACATAGGGGAGGACCAATAGGATATTTGTCTTTTGGAAAAGGAGAACGTCCTTTGGGGGAAGAGAGAAGTAGGAGGGAGCAGATATGGCCTAAATTCCTAGAAACTCACCCCAGTGGCTTGGTTTCCTTCCAAGAATGACAGCTCCAAGTTGGATGCTCAACCTTAAGCAATGGCTGGCTTTGGTGGCTTCATGAAAAGCCCTTGCTCACATCAGTCCTGGATATTTCTTCTGAGCCCCATGTATCCTTTGGGTCCCCTGCAAAGATTTTAAAGAAGGTGTGCAATCCATCAATCCTTTGGAAAATCACTGAGGCAATTCCATAGGGCATGGAAAGCCCTAGACTAGGAACAAGGAGAGTTTCCCCCTCAGCCCTGTCAGATTACAGAGTATTAAGCTGAGGCCCAGAAAGGTCAAGGTGCTTGTCCAAGGTCACACAGAGAATTCATGGCAAAGCTAGGACTAGATTCTAGGTCTATAAACTTCTAGTTTGGGCTCTGGTTGTTGATAAGATAATGGATATAGAGCATTCTGCAAAGTTTAAGGTCAGCTATTATTATTAACAAAGGTCACACAGTAATTAATGACAATTCAACCCCAGATCCTCTGACCTTAAGCCTCTCTTGTAGATGATATTTCCTTTGAACATTCTATATTCTCTCTCTCTCTCTGCAACTGTGTGAGCCCCTGGACGTTTAATTGTCTAAAAAATACCAAAAATGTTGTTAATACTATAATTATTGACCTCACTTATCAACAACAACCCCAGAAAGAGATGATGTAATAGTGACTCTATTTTACAAAAGAGGAAACTGAGTCTCTGAGAGACTGACTTGAATGACAGCCAGAATTACACAGCAAGGTAGTATTGGAACTGGGCCTCAATCTCCAGTATTCTGCTTCCAAAGCCAATGCTCTTTCTCCTGTAGCATGGTGATATTAGAGGATGACAACCAGATCCCAAAATCGGAGTCCACAGAAGACCTAGAATGGAATCCAAGCTCTGATCCTTACTAGCCATGTGACCACACAAAAGCTACTTCCCATCTGAGTCTCACCTACAAAATGGGCATGGGAACATTTGCATCCACGACCTTCAGAAACTATAAAGCAATAGAGAAGTAGGGCCAGTTGATATCTCATAGGGAATTAGAGTTGGAGTAGGAAAACCTGCAAAACTTGAGTTTGAATCCCAGCTTCTACTAATCCCACCCACTCTCCTTAACCCCAGCCACTTACTAAGTGCAAGTCCCTCCCCCTCTCTCGGCTCATTTCCTCTTCTGTAAAAGGAAGGCAGTGGGCTCAATGATCTCTGAGATCTCTTTTTGCTAAATTGTCTGTGATTTGTGACCCCCTACAGAGTGCTAGAATGAGGAGACTGGAAACTTTGTGCTAGGACTCCAACAACTAGAACTCCACTTCTTGGCTGGGGAGGCAGAGCCAAGCCTCCTCCCCATGGTTATCCATGCCCATATTTCCTGTCTCCATCCTAGCCAGCCCCAGGACTAACATCTCTGAGCTGCAGGTCATTTTTCAACCATGCCACCTACAATTCAGCTCCCCATCCCTGCCAAAACTTGCAGGGGCCATTCTGCCTGCCACTCAAAGCAACTGCACCTGTGTTTGGACTTGGTTCCATGCCTCTTCTACTGCCACCTTCCAGCTGGACTATTCTACAACACCTTCCTTCCCACCCCCAACTCCCCACTGATTGTCCTTTGGACTGCCACTCCCAGCCCAACTGGATTTATCCCCAGGCATAACAATGCCTAGCTCTAACTCTGCTGGAAGTCGAGGAGGGTATGTTAGGGGCATGAGGTCGAGGAAAGATGCTCCTAGGGAGGTTATGTCTGGGAGTACTGAGCAACCTCAGCCTGTTCCTGGACCGAATCAGACAAAGTGCTGAGTTCAACATTCTAGGGAAGGAGTCACAGCTCAGCACTTTCTCCAGCCTGGGAGCAGATGGGGAGTGAAGGAAGGATTTTGTTTGGTTTCCATTTCTCATATATCTGTGCATAGTCATTCTTTCCCTGCCTTACTTTTTGGTCTTCAGAAGGCCCAGATCGGACTTCCAGTGCCAAGATGGCAGAATGAGAAAGGACCTCCCTGAAGCCTTCCCAAATTCCTTTCCAAACAACCTTGAAAAACCCCTCAAAACCAATTTAGGACAGGGAAGCAGCTTACCAGCTCAGCAGGAAAGTTCTGTCTTACTGACATGGGAGGGAGCCCGATGAAGGAGCAGCAGTAGCAGGTCACACAACAAGGGGCCTGCAGCAAAGCTCCTAGCCCAAGAGCAGACCATCAGCGAGGCCCTACCCCCATGCAAGCCAGCAGACCAGATCAGCTTCGCAGTGAGACCCCACACCCAGCATAGGCCACCAGCAAGGCCGTGCTCCAGAGCCAGCCAGCATCAAGACCCCACCCCCAGGACAGGTCAACAGGGTGGTCCCACCCCAAGTAGAAGCCAGCTAAGAGCCCCCTCCCACCAGTGAAAGCCAGCAGCTAGGCCCTGAGCCCCAGTACAAGAAGCTTGGGACAGTGCAGGAGCAGAACCCAACTCTTACACAATAGTACAAAGTTACAAAACTGGCAGAAAAACGATCAAAATAAATAAAATTTAAAAAAAAGGAAAAGAACTTAACTATACAAAGTTACCATGGTAACAGTGAGAATCAAGACACAAACTTAGAAGAGATATCGAAATGTCTACGTGAGAAGCCCCAAAGAAAAATGTAAATTGTCCTCAGGCCCAAAAAGAACTCCTGAAAGAGCTTTAAAAGGCTTTTTAAAAACAAATAGAGAAATAGAAGGAAAAAATGGTGAAAGAAATTAATGTAATGCAAGAGAATCATGAAAAAAGAGTCAACAGCTTGGTAAATACATATATAAATGGAAAAAGATATACAAAAATTCACTGAAAAAAATTAATTCCTTAAATAACAGAATTGGCCAAATTGCAAAAAAGATACAAAAGTTCACTGAGAAAAAATTCCTTAAAACTTAGAATTGGACAAGTGGAAGCTAATGACTCCATGAGACATCAAGAAATGATAAAATCTTTTTTAAAAAATTTAAAAAAATAGAAGTGAATCTTCTCATTGGAAAAACAAATGACCTGGAATTGAGGAGAAATTATTTGAGAATTATTGGGCTACCTGAAAGCCATAATTTAAAAAAAAAAAAGAGCCTGGACATCATGTTTCAAGAAATTATCAAGGAAAACTGCCCTGATATCCAGTAGGCAAAATAGAAATTGAAAGAATCCACCAATCATCACCTGAAAGGGACTCCAAAATGAAAATTCCCAAGAATAGCATAGCCAAATTCCAGAGCTCCCAGGGCAAAGAGAAAATTACCATCAGCCTGAAAGAAACAATTCAAATACTGTGGAGCCACAGTCAAGATTACATGGGATTTAACAGCTTCTACATTAAAGAACCAGAGGACTTGGAATATATTCTGGAAAGCAAAGGAGTTAGAATAACAACCAAGAATCACCTACCCACTAAAACAGAGTATATAATCCTTCAGAGGGAAATGGATATGTAATAAAATAGAGGATTTTCAAGCATTCCTAATTAAAAGACCAGAGCTGAATAAAAATTTGTTATTGAAATACAAGATTCAAGAGAAACATTAAAAGGTAAAAAAAAAAATGTGTTTCTAATTTATTACTAAAATATTTGGGCATCTACCTGCCAAGATAAACTCAGGAACTACATGAACACAATTACAAAACACTTTTCACACAAATAAAGTCAGATCTAAACAACTGGAAAAATATCAATTGTTCATAAGTAGACCAAGACAATATAATAAAATGACAATTCTACCTAACTCAATCTACTTATTCAGTGTGATACTAATCAAACTACCAAAAATTATTTGATAGAGCTAGAAAAAATAATGTAAAAATTCACCTGGAAGAACTAAAAGTAAAAAATATCAAGGAAATCAATGAAAAAAAAATGTGAAGGAAGGTGGCCTTGCCATACCAGATCTCAAACTATATTATAAAGCAAGAATTATTAAAATAATCTGGCACTGGCTTAAAAAATAAAGTGGTGGATTATTGGAATAGACTAGGCACACAGGATTCAGAAGTAACTGACCATAGTAATCTAGTGTTTTATACAGCAAGAGATCCAAGTTTTCGGGACAAAAACTTCATTTTACAGAAACTACTGGGAAAACTAGAAAACAGTATGGCAGAAACTAAGTATAGACCAATACTTCCCACTTCATTCTAAGATAAGGTCAAAATGGGCTCATGGTTTACACATAAAGGATGATAACCATAAGCAAATTAGAAGAGCATGGAATAGTTTACCTATCAGATCTATGGATAAAGGAAGAATTTAGAACCAAACAACATCCAGTGGACATCACGAAATGTAAATGGATAATTTTTGCACCAACAAAGCCAATACAATTAAAATTAGAAGGAAAGCAGATAAGTGGGGGTAAGGGATTTTATAGCAAGTATCTCTGATAAAGGCCTCATTTCTCAATTATATAGAGACCTAAGTCAAATTTATAAGAATACAAGTCATTCTCCAGTTGATAAATGGTCAAAGGATATGAACAGACAGTTTTCAGACAAAGAAATCAAAGCTATCTAGTCATATGAAAAAGACTCTAAATCACTGTTTATTAGGGAAATGCAAATTAAAACAACTCTGAGGTACCACCTTACACCTATCAGATTGGCTAATGTGACAAAAAAAAGGAAAATGACAAATGTTGGAGGGGATGTTGGAAAACTGGGGTACTAATGCACTGTTGGTAGACTTGTGAACTGATCCATTCTGGATCTCCATTCTGGAGAGCAATTTGTAACTATAACCAAAGATGTGTAAAATTGTACATACCCTTTTATCCAGCAATACTACTGCTAGATGAGTACCAGACAGAGAGAGAGAAGAAGAAGAGGAGGAGGAGGAGGAGGAGGAGGAGGAGGAAGAGGAAGAAGAGAAGAGAAGAAGAAGAAGAAGAAGAAGAAGAAGAAGAAGAAGAAGAAGAAGAAGAAGAAGAAGAAGAAGAAGAAGAAGAAGAAGCTATTTGTACAAAAATATTTTAACAGCTCTTTTTGTGGTGGTTAGGAATCAGAAATTGAGGGGATGCCCATTAATTGGGCCAATGGCTGAACAAGTTGTCGCATATGATTGCAATGGGATATTATTGTGCTATAAGAAATAAAAAGCAGATGATTTTAGGAAAACCTGGAAAGACTGAACTGATGCAAAGTGAAGTGAACA